AGGAGCCAAACTGTACTGCTGAGAGAGTGTGTGTATGTGTGTGTGTGTGTGTGTGTGTGTGTGTGTGTGTGTGTGTGTGTGTGTGTGTGTGTGTGTGTGTGTGTGTGTGTGTGTGCGTGTGCGTTTGTGTGTCCGATAGATAGGCTGACTGAGAATGCGCATGCTTTACTAACCGCTGTGGGAGAGTTGCATTCGCTGACAGACTGGCAGGTTTCTGAGGCCTCAGAGGAGGCTGAGCTTGTTGACTTCTGGGGAAGGGAAGATGAGATGAGAAAACACAACATGAGGTGGAGATTAACAGGAAGTCAGGATAGAAGAGGAACACTGGAAAAGGTGTGATTTGGTGAAGTGTTGATGAGTTTGAAGTTGAAGTTTTATTTTTTTCTTCCAATGGGAAATATAGACCATAGCAGGATCAAACAGGCAGCCTGTAAGATCATATATTCAGAAAAGAATCATTGCATCAGTTGGTACCGCTGAGTGTGCACTGTGCTCTCCAAACGGAGTCCAGTGGGATCAAAAACCTCCAAGTACATTTCACAACTGATGGAGTTCTGTTGCAGGCGGTCGTCTTTACAAACTAGAAGTCTGTGTGAAAGCTAACTGCGAATAACAGACATGACTAAGAAGTGTTAGACCTGCACACAGCGGTAATACAAAGAGACCAGAATACAAAGTTACAAAGTAAGAAACTGCATAAATAACCAGTCAATGTCAATCATCCTGGAGGCTTTCAACAATCTAGACTTTTTCAGTTTTTCGATTCCCAAGCTTTTTTCTGTGCTCTGAGATACTTGAATTTACTCTGCTCTCTTTTCTTATTAGTTCTGCCCCTTGGGAGGAGTTTATCATAAAAAGTAACATAACAATAATACATCACATTTATATGCTCCATATTTGGACACTCAAGGACACTTAGTGTTAAACGATTCAGTCTCAGTCCCAGTGGTCTCCCATCCAAGGGCTAAGCAGGCCCCGACTTGCCTAAAGCTGGGGTATCTTTTTTGTCATAAAATCCATGTTGTTTGTCCCAACAGAAAGGGTCTTGTAAAAGTAAAATGTAAAATCAGACCTGATGATTTGCATCCAGGAGCCACCTCAACTGGCTGCTCTTGACGTGGAGAATCAGTGGCTCTACTCCGAGCTTCATCCTCAACCTATCTCTAAGGGAGCGCCCAGCTATTGATTACTCAAATCTACCCCATATACTTCAGGTCATGTCCCTGGTATGAGAGGTGGTACCTGGCTGGTGATATCCGAGGGCATGGGGGAGGGGGGCTTGGACTGGTTGTTGGCGTCCTGGGAGACGAAGCCCGAGTCGTGGGAGGACACGCTGCTGAGGCGGTAAGCTCCGGCCGAGGGCATCTGCAGGAGACTGAGCACACAAACACACAACGTCAATGGACCCCCGTTTTAACCCCAGAGAACCCAGACATAAAAAAATGTGTTGAGAAAAGGGATCTGTGCTATTTTTGAAAGCAGCATTCAGTGACCAAATTTGGCAATGTAGCATATTAGCTTCTTTGGGTCCTTGGGTACATACATAAGTTAATGCCATCCATCCATCTGTTTTCTTCGACCTTTGTCCATTTCTGGGTTTCACAAAGCACCAGCCCCTCACTGATCCTCCTGCAGGGGGTGGGTCCGCAGGAGGATGGCTGCTCTGTCTGTGAGAGCATAGCCTTATTCTTTCAGTGGGGGCATCAGTCAACCTGGGGTTAAGTGTCTTGCCCAAGGACACAACGATAGCAGACATCAGTGGGTGGAGAAGGTCTCGTGGTGGATTTTTTTATGAAAGAACTGCCCTCTCCACTTTTTGAACAAAACTCTCTTATTTGACGAGCACGTATCACCAGAATGATTGACAATTGGGAGGACCAATAGTCTTGATGATCCACCCGGAAGTAGAAAATCCTCCTATAAGCCTTTAATGCATTAAACCAAAAAGCAATACTTATTTTGCCATAACCGTTTAACTTTATGTTGCATATTTGTAATAAAATACTTTTGGAGTCTGAAGAAACAGCCGAATGAAATGTTGATCCCAAAAATTGAAGCCACTTGTCTCCATTTTGCTACATCAAAGAGCATTACAATAACCCACTCTTTTATTTGGTTTTGCTCAGAACGCGAACAGCTACTTTCTGTTATTTCACTCCCAATGTCTCATTTCTGGTCATTTCCATTTACTCCAGCTGTCTTTGTCACCCACACATTTAAAAATAGAGATTTTTGTGAATTCTTTCTTTTGTTCAGCTTTTATGGAGCGTATTATGCGTTCCACCCCCTCTCCCTGTAGAATAAATCTGACATTATCATTTTTGCTTTAATCCTAGTGCTCTAGGATGAGGATTATGTCAAAATGAATAAAAAAGAGCAACTTTCAAACTGCATAGTTTAATTCTCACCATCAAAAGCTAACACTAACATAACACAGAGACATATATTTTTGAGGAGGACACATGTAAAGTAAAAAACAACACTGCAAACAATAATAAAATAGTAGTAGTAGTATAATTGCTGTAATCGAGTGGTTTTATCTTAATTTGTGCACAATCTGACTGTATTAAAGGAGAAATATGAAAAAATCTGGACAAAAGTGAGGATGCATTATCCTTGACTCAGGTTGCCAGATATGCAGACGAATCCAGCTGGGACCATAATAGCTGAATAGAGTTTTGTCAACAACAAATCTATAACCAACATAATTTTTCCAAAGGCCTTGATAGAATTCCTCATATTAGTCCATCTTTTGTCATTAATGATTGGAGAATAATAACGAGACCGGTGGTAAAACAGTGAACGGCGAGAGATGAAAACAATGACAAGGGACTGTACATCCAATTTTGAAATTTGAATATCCCTGAACTACAGTTATCAGTTAAAGAAGTATTCGAACAGAGCCTGTTATGGCCTTTTAACATACTGTATGAGGGCCATTTAATAATTAATGCAAATATTACTCTTGATGGGACAAAGCCATTTAGTTCTAATTCACGATCTGTTGCTATATTTTCTCATTCCAAGGAAGACATTTCTTGTATTTTTTTTGAACAATAATTTTGGTTTGTCCCATTGGCAAATCTTGTTTTAAGTTTTAAGTCAGAATGTGCTCACATTAAGATATTTTTAGGCAAATTTGAGCCACTTTTAACCTATTTTTCATCACTTTTTGCTGTGCTTGGTTGCCACTTTGGTTGAACTTATCCTGCTGATTCTGCAGCTAGAGTGAACTCCTGACCCACACAGTTGGATAAACGTAAAATCACTATTAGCCCTATGAATAAGTCAGTGTTGGTGTGCATGTTGGTGCGTGGCTTTTAGCCTGTCATGTTCGACAACTTTGGACCTAATCTGGCTTTAAGAGGCTTGTAAAATGTAAATCTGCCCAAAGTAAGTTGAGGAAAGCCGCCAGGATACAGGTCCATGACGACAGCTACTGGCACCGGGGCATGTTTATCTACCGACTGCTTCAAAAGTTCAATTTCAACTGAAAAGAGGAAGCGTTTTTACCTGCACATGCTGCTTTTCCTGGAGCTCGTGCTGCTCGGGGATGAGGGAGGAGTTTGGTAGGACCAGCTGTAGTCGGAGCCTTTTAGGTCACGGATAACCTACAAAGAAAAAGAAATTAGGTGATTGTTTACATGCGTTTAAAGCTTGGAATGAGTAGTGTGGACTGGAATCATTTAAATATGCCAATCCAGGATCACAAACAATGTTATTTTGCACTGACACGGAAGATATAGAATAGAGCAAGGACCGGTAACCAAAATAGAATGTAAAGTTGCTCAGCCGTAGTTGTCAAATCTATTCCCGTTTTTACCTGATTTCACGTCTGTACATCAACACGCTACATATTTATAAGTAGAATACAAAGTCGTCTTGTTCACCTGTTCACTTGCAGGTGGCAGTTTGTGTGGATCTTCAGTCAATAGGGTTAAGTCGTCCACAATGGCCTGGAGATGAGTGGTTTCTCCCAACATTGCGATCTCTACATTCTGAGGAAAAAAAAAAAAAAAAAACGTATTGAGATTTTTCAGTTTTAAGTCTTTTTGTTTTTTATCCAAATTTGAACGAGCTGCGAACACAACCATGTGACAGAAATAGGCAAAAGTAATTTATGGGAAATACTTAAACGGCAGAAAGAACTATCACAGGAGCTTTCACAGGACAGAAGGGACAGAGTTACATGTTATTAGCATGGATGGATCCAGCACGGTGGCGCTGCGGGTCCTGGGTTAGATTCTACCTTCAGGGTTTTCTGTGCGGAGTTTGCATGTTCTTCTTGTAAGTAAGTAATCTTTATTTATAGTATATATTATTATATTGTGTCCGCTCCGGTTTCCCCCTACCACTAAAAAATGTGTACTATTCGTCTGGTGTCTTGTATATGGCAACCCTGCTCCCATGTGTGAAGTGAGAGGACAAATGGCCACAACAATTGTCAAGTGCTTTGTGACTCTGGTCTGTGAAAGGCGCTACATAAATAAATGATTACTTATTATAACTACAACTCCAGGTCAATGTTGTAGCAAGGTTGAAAAGATATAAAAAGTTCAAGTGCGCAGCTTGTAGCTTGTAATGACATGCAGAGACCAAAGCTCACCACAACAGGCTGCAGCAGGCTGATGAAGGCGCAGTAGCGGCTCCTCTCCTCCAGGAGCGCCCTCCTCACCGCCTGCTTCTCCGTCTCCTCCATTAGTAAATAGAGGTCGTTCACGTCTTGCATAGCACTGTCCAGCTGGGGGCGCAGGTTTCCCCGGCCTGAGCAAAGGTATTCAACAAATGGGCAGGGAGGAACAAACAGGGGGAGGCAAAGGAATGTTAAAAGACAAGAAGGAGGATTTGGACAGGAATGGAATGAAGGGAGGATGGCAAATGAAGTGATGGAGAAAGACAGCACAAATTTAGACATGATAAAGTTTATATAATAATGACAAACTACGTGTTCTAGCAGTCAATGCACTGCACAGATGGTTTGTGTGAAAGGAAACGATAAGACCAGATCTGGGAGCATCCATGTTAAATGAGAAATTGCACACCAAAAATGTAGCGATATATAGAAAAAAATGGCACTACACTTCTAAGTCTTTTAAAACATCAATCACTTTGACTGAAGAGCCTTGTTATAGCAGTATGCAAACTCCAACGCTGGGTTAGTGGAGAGAATGCAGCAGGCAAAGCACGGACATAAGGATGGTAAAAACAGCAGAGGGACAGCAGAGGAATGGGAAGCGTGTTTTTGGCAAATGGGTGAGCGATGCTTCGGAAAAACACAACGAACGATGAATAGTAAAAGCAGCAAACGTACCCAGGAGTTCTAATGTGAGATAAATGGTCATGAGATAAGAAAGAGTTGCGGGAACAAGCAGGGAGGGAGACAGGAGAAAATGTTAGCGGCATAGCAGGTAAAAGGAGCACATTGCACTTCAGTGTGATTTGGCAGAGAACATAATGTATAAAAAGTATTTCATTAACACAGTTAGTAGGAGCTGAAGTAGCCGGCAGGGAGAGGGCTTTCATAAGTCATAAATGCAGTAAGCAGGCCTGAACCATTGCCAGACATTATGCATGATTAAGTTGTCGTTACTAATTCGGCACTCTAGATGGCACCATTTCAGTGGCGCAGGGGTGCATAGGGCCAAGCTCAGATCAACAGGAAAATAATGGAAGTAATAAAAAGTAATAAAAACAGCTGTGAGATTGCAGCAGAGGAGGGCTGGGCAATCAGGCAAATGTAATCAGATATAACAAAAAATAAAAATCTAAGATGTGAGAAATGTCAAAATGGTGAAATGGAGGTCAGGATCATGCTTCTTTTGGCTTTTTGGGGCCTCTGTATTTTTTGTTGAGTTGTGCAGCATGAGTGTATATGTAGAGCAGAAATGGCCAACATTGAATGTGGGGGTCACGTTCTAAAAATAACCAGGAATAAGCAAATTCCATGAAGTGGCAGCTGTTTGTTTTAAGGCTGTAAATCCCCTCATCAGGCACTTTTCTAACCACCTGAACTCACGAACTCAGTGAAGAGCAATCAAACTTATAATACAGCTGCAGAGGACACTGAGGGGCAGGAGCAAGACTGAGGAGCAGGACTGAGGAGCAGGACTGAGGAGCAGGACTGAGGGGCAGGACTGAGGAGCAGGACTGAGGAGCAGGACTGAGGGGCAGGACTGAGGAGCAGGACTGAGGAGCAGGACTGAGGGGCAGGACTGAGGAGCAGGACTGAGGAGCAGGACTGAGGGGCAGGACTGAAGAGCAGGACTGAGGGGCAGGACTGAGGAGCAGGACTGAGGAGCAGGACTGAGGGGCAGGACTGAGGAGCAGGACTGAGGAGCAGGACTGAGGAGCAGGACTGAGGAGCAGGACTGAGGAGCAGGACTGAGGGGCAGGACTGAGGAGCAGGACTGAGGAGCAGGACTGAGGGGCAGGACTGAAGAGAAGGACTGAGGGGCAGGACTGAGGAGCAGGACTGAGGAGCAGGACTGAGGGGCAGGACTGAGGAGCAGGACTGAGGGGCAGGACTGAGGGGCAGGACTGAGGAGCAGGACTGAGGAGCAGGACTGAGGGGCAGGACTGAGGAGCAGGACTGAGGAGCAGGACTGAGGAGCAGGACTGAGGAGCAGGACTGAGGGGCAGGACTGAGGAACAGGACTGAGGAGCAGGACTGAGGAGCAGGACTGAGGAGCAGGACTGAGGGGCAGGACTGAGGGGCAGGACTGAGGAGCAGGACTGAGGCTACGGGAAGACTGCGGTATCATCTGAGCTATAATGTCCAGTCATATTTGACATTGCAGCATCTGTACACTATACATTGTTACTTATTTGGGATGGAAATTAAATACGTATTTGAAATTTTAATATTTCAGTAACTTTGGTCAAAATTGTTTTAAAATTGCCCAAAGGAGGCAATACAGTTGAGAATTAACTTTTTTGCCTTATCGCCCAGCTCTATAGTATTGCAACAAAAGTATACGCAATCTGAATCTCACCTTTTCTGGCTTTTTTCTGGAGTTTGATAGTGTCTAAAGACTTTCTTTTGATTTCCTGACGAGACCGCTTGTATTCTGCAAACACAAAGTCAAATGAGTGGTGCTTTTCACAGCATTTGTATGATGTGTTGTTGTTGTTGTTGTACCTTTGGCATGATCTTTATCGAGCTGATTGGCCGTCTTCTTCCACTCTTCTATTCGGTCCTGAAGGGGCGTAACAAGGCCCTCCATAAGAGCACTAGTCACACAGAGAAATAACACTGGCTGTGAGGGTCAATACAAACAGCCCCATTTCTATGAAACAAAACACTTGGAAGCAGTGAGAAGGCGGCCAGGGGGGAGGGAAGGGAACCTGGGACATAATAACACTCTTAAGAAAAGACAAGGGAAAATGGTGGAGAAAACTATCCAGGGGACACTTACTTGGTGAAGTGGCGTAATTTTGCTTCGATGCTGCGATGGCGCATACACATCCTGGTGAGAGCGGATCCGATGTCCCTGGTGGCACCTTGAAGCAGAAAACAGAAATAAAACTATTATTTTCTGTCAAGAAGAGAGCCTTGGCAATAGACATCACTGATATAAATCGTTTTGAGCATTTGCAAGTGAAGAGGATGTCATGACAGTGTAATCCTCCCGTGTCTCCTCATTCCAGATACAGACACGAAGAGGGCATAATGCGTGCCACCACAGATAAAGGATAATGATTGATTTACTTTATTTGGGTATGTAACAAACAGCTTGAGTGACTTTGACATAGCACGAGTGTAATTAAAGAGTGTTTTAAGCTCCAAAGCTCAGACTATCCTACTGTCTCACTCTTGGTACTCAGGGAGCTGTAATATGTAGCAGCTGATCCTGCAGTAATCTGGCCCACATAGGGCTAATCTTTGGGGTGAACAGCCACACACACGGATACAAGAAGACATCTCCCAGCATGCATCATCGGATTCATAATGTGTTGAAAATTCGCTTGCACACGTGTATGGACAGGTGGTGAGAGTCAGCAGCCCCCACTTTTTAAGTTCTCTATCCTAGAGGAAAAAGGAGGGGACATTGTAAGGGGATATCCCTCTATTCTTCCCTGGCTGCTCTGCCTTTCCTGTGCTCTCTGTTTCCTAAACACCATTCATGCAGAGAGGACAGGCAAGAGAAACCACCTCTGCACTTCACTACAAAGAGAGAAGAAGAGAGACTTTGGCACATGACCGGGATGGCATAGATGAAACCAAACACTATTAAGAGCAGTGTTCCAGATGGCTCTCTCCGCTCCTCAGACAGTCAGTCACTCTGCTGCCTTGGGCTGTCAATACTTAGTTGTTTTATGGATCAATAGTGTCTCAGTCCAACACATTTTGTACAGACCGACTGATTATGTTATTTTCATTTGAAGAATTTCAACTGCAAACATGAGAACAATCTTGCATTTTTTGGTATGGAAAACATTTCATCGGCGGCGGTTAGCAGTCTCGCTTCTCCGCAAGAAGGGCCTGGGTTTGAATCCCAGTCGCCTTTCTGAGTGGAGTATGTTCTCCCCGTATCTGACTTGGTTACATTCGAGTGCTCCGGTTTCCCCTACCACTAAAAACATGCACAAGGTATTATCCTCCAGCTCCAGTAATATCCTGACGAAACAGACCCAGTCTCCAGGCGCTGTACCACGGCGACCACTGCTCCTGACAGAGGCCCTAGTGTCATTACAGGATGATTGTTTATTTCATTTAACTGAGTAAATAGATACTCATTGCAGATATCTCGATATGATACAACTAAGGATTGGGCAAAAAGGAAAAGAACAAAAAATGTCCATAAATGTTTATAAACGTACATAAAGGTCCTTAAAAGTCCCGGATCATCAACGTCCTTATATGGTTACAAATATGCTACATCAAGTTAAAAGGTTGTGGCAGAAGAAGTATGACTTTTGGGTTTATTGCATTAACTGATGTATGTGCTCAAGAATCCAAAGAAGCAAATATGCAACATTGCCATATTTGGTCATTGACTGCTGCTTTCCAAAAATAGCACGGATATTCTTTTTCAACAAATATTTGTAGTCTGGGGTTACTACTACTGGGTTAATCTGTTCTGCATCAGCAAGGAACGATAAAAACACAGTGGGAAAAGATACTAATATGTCCATATCTCTATCTTTCAGCCTTATTCATATGTTTAATCAATGGCTTAATGATTGTTTTCCCTTTGTAGTCGAATAAACAACAGAGGAACTTGAAGTCGGACAATAATTTCTTTGGTTGATTAAAGTCCTACTGCTGTCCATATCATGTCCTTTTAAAAGAAAATGCACCTCTTTAACGGCGAAGGATCCACACACAATCTCCACATCACTCGTATCTCAGGGTGAAATACCCAGACTCCAGGCCCTGAGTGCTGCCGTGTGTGTATCTGCTTCTTACGTGACAGTGATGTTAAAGGTTAAATGCATGGCAGATTTATCACATGCGCCGAAGATGAGAGTGGAGTGAGTGGAAAAAGCATGAAAGGTAAGCTCCCACTTTTTCATGGGAGAAAATGGGCAGCTGACATGGAACTTCCCGACACACATGTTTGCCACGTGTGCAGCGCCGAAAAGACTCTCTCCTTTTGCCCTCGGTTAAAAGCATTACACAGCCGCACTTCACAGCTGCAAATCGACTTAGACCTGGTGGGCTGATACGATGGAGCGAGGCTGGAGGACACTCGCAGGAGAAGGTTAACAATGTGCTTTTATCTTTATAACCGCCCCACTCAGTGTCACTGATGCTGAGAGCCCCCTTCCCTCCCTCCTGCCCCACCTGCCAATATCCACTCTCCACTCCTTTCCCCCTCCTCTCTGCTCCTTTCCTTCCCAGAGGAGGATCAGCTGACAGATACATCCTGGGGAGGGACGCTAGCTTCCTGTCCGTGTCCGAGAGCCCGCTGCCCCCTGGACCCAGACCGGATGGACAGGGACCGAGGGATTCACACCCTTTGGTCCCCGTGAGCCTGGATACTGGACCAACCCTGGAAATGCACATCGCTTACATAGAAGATTGTAAACAGCAAGAGTTTTCCAGGAATATTTCTATATTTGTTCAAATTACTGTAAACAATGGAAAGGGCAGGATGTGACAGGCTTGACAAGATAACTGCAAGAGCAACTTCTTTTAATGACATAATAATGACAATCTTAGTGAGTGACTCAGTAAGAGTGACTAGGCTTCAATAACCAGTGCTGGGTAATCTTACTGTTACAATCAAAGTACTTATTTGATTACTGTAGTTACTTTCAAAACTGTCTTACATACAATAGTTTAAACATGCCAACAGAGAGAATTTGTGGATTTCCAAACACTTCATAATCTAAGAACTTCTGATAAAACTTGTATCATAAGTGTGTGTCTTAACTCTGTAACATTATGTAATTAATTACTGAAAACAATACAATGCATTGTGATGTTTTCTATAGTATTATAAGCGTTATTAATGCTGGAGTAACTCACTTTAATACATGTAACTATGCATTAAAATACATCCACCTACTTCCTTTGGCTCTCAAAACAATATTCAGCTCCTATCATATCTTTAGGTCTGCTTTTTGAGGCGAAAAAGGCCTTGAATCAGTCAATAAACTCCCAAGCCCAAACCAAAGGAGTTAAATACTGACTCACAGGGTTCTTTGTACAAGTGTGCAAAGGATAACATATTTTTTAAGAAGAAAATAGCAATTTGTGGTTGGATTCGTTCCCAACATTTAACACGTTAGGACAAAAAAGAAGAAAAAAAGGTATCCTAGCTTTAAGGGTGATATTTAGAGGATATTTTTTCAAAATACGGAATATTTACAGCTCTATCCACATAAACTCGCAATACTTCAAACGAAAACCATAACCTCAAAACAAACTGCTGTTGATACCGTGCGTTCAGCTGCCTGGAACCTGTTGACTTTTGTTAAAAAAAAGAAAACTAAAAAAATCTGGAAAAGGTATTAACGGCATTGTCGAGTTGGAACTTTGGAGCGGCAGGGGGAGCAGAATCGACCCAGTGCACACATCGACACGTGCAGAGCGGAGACACACACAAGAGGTCCTTATGCACCGAGGCCCATATATCACAGAACATAAAGCAAAACAACCAAGAGCCGCCTCGAACACTGGCCACAAACGTGTCCTCTATTCTGTCACTCAGGCCCGTGGCGCCGGGTTGATTCATATACACTGTGCATAAACATGAGGACTGTCAGATCAGCAGTGTTGTGGAATATGTGGGCCCATCTGTGGGAATGTTCAGTCCCCCGGTCGTGGTTTCTGATGGGAACTTTCGACTCTCAAAACCTAGGATCGGCTCAGTGTGGTCTTATCCTCTGCTGAGTGCTTCCAATCACAGCTCTGGTTCTGATTACAGCTGCTGGTTGCGTTGGGAAAGAAGAGCGCTTTTAATAGGTCCCCTTTCTAGCTGGCTCCCCTGCCAAGAGCCTGGAGGCCTGGGGTAAACCGCTCCAGGATCAGGTTTGAGAGACTTTCAACCTGGAGATCAGCGAAATCCTCTCCTGCTTTTGAGTACCTCGCTGATCACATCCTCAGCACTAGAACTCCCCGAGCAGTCAAAGTGACGGCTTTATAACATGCAACATTTAGTTTTTTTATAACTTTGTGACTTTTTCTGTTTATATTGTAGTTCACAATAGTTTATTATAGTTCACAATAGTTTATTGTAGTTCACAATAGTTTATTGTAGTCCATTTCTGTAATTATCTTTAAGAAATTGTCTTATTATTTGACACATGGGAAGGTCTATTTTTGAAGGCTGGTTACTATAGCAACACACAGTTTTCATTTGGTATTTAGCATTAAGCGTTCAAAAAACTGTTTTAGCATTTAGTAAATGAAAAAAAAAATTAAATGTATTGAATCTTAATTCTGAATAGCGAATGCTGCGTACTTTAGCGACACACTGTTTACCGTTAGCAGTTAGCATTTAGTCTTTAGCCTGTAACAAACTGCTTTAACCTTTAGTAAAAGTAGGAAAAGAACCTTTAAATAGACTGGAACATTGAATCTGGTAAAAACAAACAGAAAATTTTCGGGGGAATTTCTCAGAATTCCATTGTTTTCAAAGGGAGCAGTCCAAATGGCAGCTAGTTTCATAATCATGGGAGTCCTAGTGTTAATTGGACTGATCAAGAGTCGGAAATTTGACGCGACGTAATTACAATGAAGTTAAGAATTACACGTCCAACAAAAGTCTATAATCTGGTACGAAGGGAGAGAGTTTTAGTTAAGAATCGCAGACTCAACCTAAAGCTGCTCTGTTGCACCTTCCAAATCAGTATCCACAGAAAAACCGTCTAGAGGTGAGTGGATGCTTACTCCTTCCCCTCGCTACTTCCTGTGTCAGTATTGTGTGCGCAGCGAGGTGAAAAATATTATTATGGTTCCGTTTTCCCGGAAAATAGAGCCCCAATTCCGACTAAGCCAGATCTGTTGAGCCGAAAGGAAATTCCATCATTCATGAGACAACGGTTGCGGC